GACCAGGCTCAATTCTGAGCCCGCTGCCATTTTCAGAAACGCGCCAACAACGTTCATATGTTCATATCACTGAGCTATACTATATTACTGGAGGACGTGCTCGGCATTAAAAAGTGTCGCCAAAAACATGGCGGATTTTCGCGCCATTTCCATGACAACTGGTTCCTCCGGGTCATGAAATTACCACTGACCAGGCTCAATTCTGAGCCCGCTGCCATTTTCACCCCCCCCCCCCCTGGTTTTATCAAAAATATTTTTGCTTTTCGAAGTTTTTGCAGCAAATTCTCGTTGTTTTTTTAATATTTTTTCGACTTTTAACCATTGGTTCAAAAATTTAAAAGTCGTGCACGCTATTCTCACCCGCGAAAGACAACAAACCAATATGAAAACCCCGAGAAAGTTAGGCAAAGGCGATATTTGATGGCACAGCTATAAACCAAGCAGCTAACAGGTAAATTTTCACATACTATTGATATGCTTTTATTTTTAGTTTTTAAAAGATAGTGGGAGTAAATGATAGAATATAATCCATTAGATAACAGGCTATTTGTATAGTATAACGTATTATTTCCCCCCGTGTATTCAAACTTTGTCGTAAACAATACAGAAACTTTGTTTTTATATTCAAAGTTTTTTTGTTTTTTTTTTCCACTTTTATACTAGCTTTGTTAAATTGTTGGCTGGCCATGCATGGTTTTTGTTAAATAAACAAATTTTGTTTTATTTAATTCAGTTAAATCAAATTCCCTCAAATCCTTTGGGTTTTCTATATAGACTGATGACTGAAATCTGACATGCTTGATTTTATGCAATTGTATGTGCTATAAAATACGTGTATACAGATGTAAAGGCATGAAACAATGTGCTTCTATCTATATTTTTTGTGTCTATATATACCAGAGTCTGTGGTTATTATAGTATGCATAATTTGGGGTGCCACAGTAGAAGCTAGCCCAGGGGTACCAGAAGCTCAGGATACTGTGGGCAACTTCTCTGGTAACATGATTTCTACCTAGTTTTCTGACTGACATGTTGGATTTAGGATTCTTGAAACACTAGAAATAAGATTGTACTTCTTGAATGTTGGGTACCAATCACAAGTGTAGGTATTAAGCAAAGTATCTAGATTATAGGCTTTATAGGGTTGCACTGGATCTCATTATACATGCAGGCCAGAACTGAGAAAGTCACACATGCTAGTCAGACATCAAGTCAGAAACAATTTAATTGGTAGATAATGTCACTTCCAGTCCATGCAGGTGGATTTATTTGGGGTTTTGTTTATTTCAGTCCTCTCTCTGTCCACCCCTGTATCAGATGCAAATACCTGAACTAAGAAATCAATGAACTTCAACATTTCAGGTGAAAGACCTATAGTATTATTTTTCAGGTAGTTGCATGATACATTCAAGCCTTTAAATAGTGTGGTGGCTTTTAAAAAGCTGCTTTTCTCATTTCCTTTATTCACTTTCTTACTCTTTTGTCTGTAGTGAAAACTTTATTTTACAACATTTTAATTATATAATCTCTTTTTGGTCTAATTGCAGAATTATTTGATGGTGAGACAGTTCATAGTTCAACCTCTTTTTTAAGGAATAATGAATTATCAATTATTAGAAATAATTAATTTTTTTAGCAGTGATGAAACTATGGAGACAAAGTTATTATTATGACTTTGTAGCCAGATGGGTATGATTTTGCTTTGGCTGTTCAGCATTTTGATCCATTGTGATATGTCTTGTGGTACCTGTGAATGATTTTACCTGCAAAATGAATGACAGAATATCAGAATG